AGAGGGTATGTTAGCCATTGTAAAGACCTACATATTTTTATTTAGCTCTGTTCTTTACAATCTTTCTCTCATTTAAGATACACTGTATCCAAGGTTTGTTTTTTTGCTACGAATTGAGAACTCTGATGTAAAATTTCTCATGGGGTAAAATAATGATTTATTTTAACCACAAAGCAAGGAGAGGTTTCAGACTTTTGACAGAATAGTTTTAATATTAGCTGTATTCGATAACTTAGCTAGGGGTAGGATTTTTAAAAAAATATAACAAGTGAAAAGAAAAAAAAAATACACGCCATAGGTTAGTGAGTGTAAATGAGAACAATTTCGTAATTTTATGTCTTCAGACAAAAAACTAAGCCTTGTGCTAAAGGCATTTAAATTGGTGCCTCTCTGCTTCAGGGGGAATTCTAGTTTCAACCTTAAAAATTGTCTGAATCATCCCTCCCACCACTCCCCCCTTTGGGTTTTGGGTAAACCTTAGGGTGTTAGCATCAAAACTGTGAAGTGAAATATAACAACTCTGACTGGTAAGGACAAAATTGGCTTCACTTGAATTTAAACCAACTCTACATAGGAAAAAAACCTGTCTCCTCATTTGCTTTTTCAATGGGGTAGCACCTATCGTGTTTTAGAACAAGTAGAGTGACTTACTTAAATAAAAATAGTATTTAATGTATGTGTGAAGGATTTATGGATAAAGCTGTACTTCTGTCACCTTCTGGCAGTACTTTCTGCTTTAATATTAAACAGCTTGTTATTTAAATATTGGACAAAAGGGCTGGCTTCAACATGTAGTATTTAATTAATTAACTTTAACTTTATGGGCACCTACGTAGGAGAATCAAAGTCCTCCATACTTTGCCTTGTTCCTGTTTTCAGGGTGACAGCTGCCATCAGGAGATGCAATTCTAGTTTTTAAAAGTGAATTTGTCCAGATTTCTGAGAGGTGTTATCTAGAAGACAGACTGTGCCGTCTCTTATTTAATACATACTATCTTTGATTACCAGCTAAAATACAAAATCACTGTACTGTAAGTAGTCAATAAATGAAGGCTTGTTTTAAGCTGAAAAAAAAAATGCTTTGAAGAAATGCTTCAGGATCTTGATCCCACTTGTTTAAACTTTCTATTGAAAGTTCTGCTCTTGTCTGCTGCTGATCTGGGCATAACAGATTTGGTACAGAAAACTGTTGAGCACAGAAAGTGTGCTCAACATTAATTCTTCGGTCAGAAGAATTAATGTAAGCTGATTCAGTTGAGATGTGTATAATGTTGGCTATTGTTTCTGTGGTCAATCTTTGATCCTCTTCAGTTAGGGCATAAACCAAATTAACTTTTCCCTTGCAAATTGATGTGGATGTCTGCCATTATGGATGTCCTCAACATCATCTTGGCTTTTCTTTCTTTCTTTTTCTTTCTTCTTTCTTTCTTTCCCTTCCTTCCTTCCTTCCTTCCTTCCTTCCTTCCTTCCTTCTTTCCTTTTTTTTCCCTATAGGATGCTTGCAAGAGAGAGAAAGAGAGAAGGTGAGAAATCACCCCCTGCCACCTCTGTGGGTGACTGTGCTGCAATCCCTTCTCCTCTGTTCTCTTGGGATTTTGAACATGCAGGCACATGTACCTGGTATATCTTGCAAGCTATCAGGTCTGAGACTCAAACCCTGCAGTTGGCCATGTGGGATTCAGCCATCTTAATATGCACACCATCAGCTGGCCCATCTTGTCTTTTCTTAATGAATCATTCACTTCTAAACTGCTGATTTTTTGTGGGGCAAACAACTTTGCATAAAGCATCAATGATCTCACCATACTTCCACCCACATTTTACCATAACTTTGGTGTTTATTCTTCCTTCAATTTTAACAGAATTTATGTTGCTCTGATAGAGGCTTTTTCCAAACTAATGTCTTATATTTTTTAATGTCTCAAATTAGATCCTGTTTAGACATGTTATGACAGATTAATACAAACTTTTTTGTGCAAAAAATTTGAAATCATGTATAATTTTTTCATAATATACATTTTCCATGATCTTTATGAATCCTCTTTCCCCCCTTATAATTGAGTAGAGATAAAGGCCAAGTGTCTCTGGGTGAAAGAGACTGTCCGAACGACCTCATGCATATCTCTATAATGGCCACAGGTGGGGGAATGGGGACAGGTATCATGGAACCACCATGACTGCGTGCACGATAGCACCTTAATCAGGAGCTCTTATTTACATAGAAGGTGAAATGAAATGTTTGTGAAAATAACTTAAATCTGGTTAGGACATAGGATTCAAATTCTAGGATTTGGTAGGTCCATACGACATTTCCAGGGCTACATGGTTGGGTACTTCTAGTGTTTAATAAGAAAGAGATTCCTATGGAAGTTAATCATAAGGAGAACAGTGCAGGGCAAAAACTTCTCAGGAAAGTCAGTCCTTTGCCGTTCTTTGATCTAACTCCCCCTCCTCTGCCATGCCTCTGATTGATGGTGAACAGGAAGCCTCAAAGGAAGCATCTTACCCAAAGTCTTAGACTGAGCCAGTTTTCTGCCAGTTATCCCTTACAATTTTTCAACTTTTTTTTTTTTTTTGTCTTTGGTCTCTAGGTGAGGATTTTGAGGTTGGCAGCATCACTTCTGTCTTTAGCAACCGAGCCATCGTGAAATATAGTCGACTGGAGGATGTGCTACATGGCTGCTCCTGGAAGATCAATAACAAGCTAGATGGGACGTACCTGCCCCTGCCGGTGGACAAGATCATCCAGCGTACGAAACACATGATCAACAAGATAGTGCAATACAGCCTGATCGAAGGAAACTGTGAACACTTTGTCAATGACCTCAGATACGGCGTGCCCAGGAGCCAGCAGGTGGGGCCCAATTTGCTCTGATGATGGCTCCTCCCAGAGCTTTATTTAGTTTGTCATCTCATCATGGATTGAAACGATCATCAGTGGTTTCATTATGTTGTTTTTTGTACCAGTAGGGCTTTCAGTGTCTATGGGACTTTATGGCTCAGGAGGTATTTTCATACATTTTAGCCCATGGAAGAGTAGGAAAAACACTTAAGGCTAATGTATGATTGGAGTCCTAGACAGTTACTAACTAGGATGGTCTCTTAGGTCAAGTTACTTTATTTCTTAGGCCATTTCTTTGTTTAAAAAGTGGGGTAGACTGAGATAGATTTTTTTACCACTACAGTTGGAAACTAGCAGCCTGCAGGCTACATCTTGGAGCTATATTATTATTTTTTAATTTAAATTACTTGCCAACACTTAAAAATATGGAAACTTTATGTAAAAAGATCTGGATTCCCAGCTTTTCTTGAACACCCAATTGATCAGATTTTGGGACCAGTATTGGTGCTTGCCAACACTCTGTAGTGCCGAGTTGTGGCTCTGTGGTATATGTGGAGGGATGTGTCTCCTACTAGCTTAATTTACATTACCTGACTGCACCATGTTGCATTTGGCTCTGTGACTCCCTCCCCCCCTGTTATTTAGGGCAATAATAAATTAAATAATTTAAAAGATCTTTGAAAGACTGAATATCTGTAACATTTTGATCTGCTTTTGCTAATAGTTGATCTTTACTAAGAGCTCAGAAGATGAGCAGAGGGATTACTGATTGTCCCCTTTTAAATAGAAGGACAGAAAAATCAAGAATTACATATGGAACATATTTTTTTTTCCCCTGTGCTTTCTCTGGACAGCTGACCTCAATCCCAGTGTTGGTCTCTCTACTATTGGTCTCCCATTTCTGAGAGCATTGGCAGCCCCATCTTCCAACTCCTCCCCACTTTTATTCTCTGTATCTCTCTTGTATTCTGCTTCTTTTCCTGCGCTTGATTCTTTTTTGTGAGGTCTTGCTCCAGTGCCAGGGACTTGGTGGACTCAAAGACTCTTCCATCACATAATTATTTGTGTGTGAAAAAAACCCTTTGGATTGAGGGCATTATAGAAGGCCTGAGGAAGCATGAACTTCTGTCTCAGTTAGGATGCTGATTCACTCTGTAGCTCTGTTCAAGTGAGTTTCCTTCTCTGGCTCTCTGATTTCCTGATATAAAAGGAGGGTCTCAGTGGCTGTGGGAATTCTGAGATCCTTTACCACTGAGCACAACACTGTAGAACAGATCCTGGGCTCTGAGGGAGGAAGGGGACTGGAACCCTGGATAGCTTTCAGGATAAAAGAGGCTTATCTGTATTGGATATCCATCTCCAGGAATCCTGTTTTTTTTTTTTTTTTCTTGGTCTCTTGCAGCTCTAGGAGTTTTGAAAATGTAAGATAGCACAGGTTTTTCTCCTTTAGGAAGACAGACACTCCAGGAAGACCAATTCCTGAAGGAGGGGCAGATGTAGGGGAGGGTGCAAGTTGAAAATGGGTACTGACTGTCCTATGAACTGATGTGTTTTGCAGGTAGAGCATGCACTGATGGAAGGAGCGAAGGCTGCAGGAGCAGTTATTTCTGCTGTAGTGGATAGCATAAAGCCCAAGCCAGTAACTGCCTGAAGGTGCTAAAAACTCCAAGTAGAGAAGAGCTACTGACACCAGCAAGAAGAACTTGTCTCTCTTCGTCCCCTTGCCGTCCTCTCTCAGTGGCCTCATTTAAGAAAATTGTGAGCTTCTGGAAGAATCTAGAATGTATCCACTTAACCCTCCAGAAATGCATCCAATATATGTGATCATAGGCCCATGGGCTCTCAGGATGGGAACTAATATCTATTGTGTATCTATTTTGCGCTGGGCACTGAGCTAGGCATTTCATATTCTTACATAAGTTTACATTTTTGTAGAAAGGGACCTTGCTTGTTTCTTAGGTTGATCCTAGTGTGTGATGCTTGAATACCATCAGAAAAATCCCAGAAAACCTCTGCTTGAACATTTTCTGCAATGAAGAACTCTTTCCAGAAGCCCCCCCCCCTTTTTTTTAAATTGAACTAAAATGACTAGCTTTATTTCAGCTAGTCTTGCCCATTTTGACCCACAGTGCAGTTCAGGGAGAAGACTTCAAGAACAACAATCCCTCACTATTCAGGGTGAAAATCTAGAAACACATTGCCCAAGAAATATTTTCTTTTAAAAGTTACACATCAACTTTATTCTTTATTGCTTAAAAATTCTTAAAGTATAATAGGCAAGACCATTTATTTTACTTTTCAACCTTAAAATTATCAGAAAATTTGAAGTTCCTATTCTCACCAATTCCAGATGAATATTTAAAATATTAGTTGACTTCTGTGGGATGAATGAAGCAGAGGGAGAAGTAATTTTTTGTGTTTTGAAGAAGGCTAATATGAAAGATATGAAATGATGACTGGGAGTGTAGTAGTGGCAGTTGAAAGCTGAAGCCACCCAAGAAATTAGAGAAGGGATCTCCTGTGGGAGCGCCTAGAAAATATGAAGAATGTCAAAGAAAGCAATATGGAAACTTTACGTGTTTAAGATAAGATCTATTAGGAGCTCCCATGAGCCTTTTTCTTGAAGAAAAGACTATCAATGAAGCTCTTCTTCTTTCTTCTCCTTCTTCTTCTTCTCTTCCTCTTCCTCCTCCTTCTTCTTTCTCTTCCTCCTCTCCTCCTCCTCCTCCTCCTCCTCCTTCTTCTCCCCTCTATCTTTTAGTAATCAAACTTGACTATTTCCTCCTGTTTTCTAGATCCTAGAGTTTGGGTGCATGCCTTCATTTATCTTCCCTCTGCCTTTCCTAAGTGACCTCTGTCTTTGTCATCCTGGGTGGTTATGTCCTGATAGCATATGCCCTGGTTTCTATGAATCATGAAGTTAAAGTAAATGCCTCTAGTTCCTCTACTCACTCCATCCTCCATCCCCCCAAAATCAGTTGAGTTTCCAATTCCTCTTTTTTCAATGTATTTATTCAATAGATAATCTAGGTTGAGACTTCCTCTGAAGCAGAACTCAAGTACTAGGGATTTATATTTTATACAATACATTCCTGTTAACTTTAAACTAACTTAACCATGTTTTAGTGAACCTTGAAATCTGATTTTGAATTTGTCCTCCACACCAAGGAGTGTTTAGTAACTTCTAAACAAAGGACTCACTCATCTCTTGCATATATTTGGGACAGAAAAACACTTCTCTATCTTCTTTCAGGTTTGAATCCAGTAGGGCAGAAACTCACTTCAGGGCATATTGGGGCTGACATTCTCTTTCATCCAGCAAACATTTTTGAGGGTCTACCAAGTGCCAAACCCTGGCTACCCCATTTGCCTGAGTCCACAAGCAGTGCTTAGGGTTGGCTATGAGAATTTCTAAATCAATTGGTAGGACACAAGATGCAGTAGAGCATAGGGCAAAGACCACTAGTGGGACCACTGGGGTCCCTCCTACTTCTAAGTTATCCATAAGGCTGTGAACTATGGAATGCAGGTCCTACTTTCTGAAGATAAGAAGGAGATGGTTTCTAAGTTTGGGTTTTTGTTTTTCCTCTGCTTTGAATAAGACCAGTTGGGTGAGCCTTTTTTAATATCGTAAATATGAAAGTACTCTAGAAAGTTCATAGAGAGACCAGTAGATGGTGTAATGGTTACATTGCTGGACTCCCACATGGTTGGCCACGGTTTGAATCCCAGACCTCACAGCTTAAAAGTCACGGCTGGGTGTGTGTGTGTGCGTGGCCAAAATCCTGAGAGGAGAATGAAGGAGAAGGGATTGTGGCATAGCCATTCCCCCCTTGGGGGGGGGATTTCTGCACTTTGTGTCTCTATCTCTCCAGCAAGCACACATGCTCTATAGCAAATAAAAATCTCTCTTTCTCAACAAGAACAAAGTTTATAGAAAAATGAAATTAAAGTGCAGATTTTTTTCTAGTGCATGAATTTAAGTCCAAGCATAGTTTTTTCAATATATGCTTTTCCTGTGAACTTTCTGAAGAGCATTTATTTAAGGCACACTTTCTTGTTGATTGGGGAAAAAGGAGGAAAGAAGAAATTCTAAAGGAAAGTAATAGAATGTGAATGTTTCTGAGATTAACCAAATGTTGGTCAGTTATTTCTGTGCTTATTTTTCATTTTGGAGTGGGATGGCCAAGTGGAGCAATGGTGGTGTTTCTTTACTTGGCATGTCATAGGAAGAGTCAGAGAATTTGAATGTGCTATGCTCTTTAATGGTAGAGAGGCCCAGTATTAGTGACAGATGAGTCAGCAGGCGTGGCACACAATACAGATGTTTTGCTTAATGATAAAAAGTCTGACTTCTGCAGAGATTTTAATTGCCATAAAGGATCTATTTTTGTTGAGCAGGAGTGGAAGAGAGAAGTGAAGGACTTCACTAAAGAAAGGGATATGGATCCCTCCATGGCTGGCACAGGAGGCTGGCTGCAGGAGAAAGAGCCACAGGGGACCCCTTGTAACTCCAGGAGTAGAGATAAGCTGCTCTGCAGTTCTCAGTTTTGAGTTTCTGTCTTGTAATCGCCTTTCATTGTCTTCAAGTGTTGAAGCAAGATTTGTTATTCACGTGGTTGTGCAGGAAGGAGAGGAGCAAATGACCTTGGTTTGTAGTACCCAAGCAGGTTGCAGCTAAGGAGAAAAGAGGCTCAGGGGCCACCAGAGATGGTCCATAGAAAACCAGCAAACCAGAGCGAATCCATTTAAGTTTAAAATGTAAGCAAGCATCCTTTGGTGTCTTCTGTAATACTTGGAGAGAGAACTGGATTCCTTGCAATCATGCAGGAGGGGAGCTTAGTCTAAAAAGTAAGACTTAAAAGGGAAGAATGATTTCAGACTCTGTAGGACTTGGATGCTTTTAGTACACATAGACAAACACAGCACAAGGAGAGTAGGAGTTAGAGTTGTACTGTGTCCTGTACATTGTATTGAAACTTCTTTTTTATCACTTTAGCAGGACCATGAATAGTTATACAAAAGGACTTCAAAAGTTTGTGGGGAAATAAAATTAAAGTACACATTTATTTAGGTACAAAAAATTTGAAATTCATATATAGTTTTTGATAAAAATACAGTTTCCTTGAATTTTCAAAGTCTCTCCTTTGGGACCAGCAGATGGCCTAACGGTTATGTCGCGGGACTCCCATGAAATCGACTGCCATTTGAGTCTCAGACCTGGTGGCTTAAAACTCAAGCTGGGTGTGTGTGCATGTGTGCCTAAAATCCCGAGAGAAGAGTGGAGGAGAAGGGATTGTGGTGTGGCCATCCCTCCTGGGGGGTGATTTCTTATTTTCTGTCTCTCTGTCTCTTCAGTGAGCAAGCATATGTGTCCCATAGCAAAACTCTCTTTAAAAAAAAAAAAAAGACTACCTTTTATAATTCTTTTTAAAATAATTTTTTTTTTTGGAGAAGTTTTTGCTATAGGGCGTGTGCGCTCGCCAGACAGACAGAGAGAGACAGAGAGACAGAAAGTGAGAATCACCTCCCAGGAGGGATGGCCACACCGCAATCCCTTCTCTTCCGTTCTCCTCTCGGGATCTCAGGCACCATGCCCTTGAATATGAGTTTAAGCCACTTGAACCACTGTCGACTACATGGGAGTCCAGCGACATAGCCATTACGCCAACTGCTGGTCCCTTAAAATAATTTTTTATTTATTAATTTTAATTTTTTTTACACATTTAATCACTATACATCATTCAGATTGTAAAGAGATTTTACCCGCATGACACACACCTCAGTCCAGCCCAGTTTACCCTTTATAATTCTAAGAAGGCTATTTGAACCACTAAAGTTCTGTTTGTTCAAAGTTTCTGTTCCCAGTTCTTCTTCTTTTTTTTTTTTTTTAAAGAGGGGTTTTTGCTATAGGGCTCATGCAGTCACCAGAAAGACAGAGAGAGACAGAGAGATAGAAAGCGAAAAACCACATCCCCATGGGGAATGGCTATGTCGCAATCCCTTCTCCTCCATTCTCCTCTCAGGATCTTGGGCAGGCACGCACATGCACCTGGTGTGAGTTTAAGCCTCCCAGTCCAGGTCTTGAAGTGCGGTCCACTATGTGGGAGTCCAGTGTTGTAACCATTATGCCATCTGTTGGTCACCCCAGTTCTTTCAAAGGCAACTTTCAGCTGGGCAGAATCATTTATTTATTTATTTATTTTATTGCCAGAGGTGCACATATACCTGCCAGAGATGAGAGAGAGAGAGAGAAAGCGGGACACACAGAGAGAGAACCCCACAATGGGCATGGTCATGCCACAATTCTCCATTTCTCTAACTTATGAGGATTTGGTACACCCATACATGTGCTCAACATGTTTTTCAAGCTATTGGGACCAGGATTCAAATTGTGGTTGGCCATGTGGGACCCAACTCCCTTAACCACTAGGCCACAGGGCTGGCTGTTGGCTGGGTAGAATCTTATTTATGAATCCCATGCTGCTTCTTGGTAGAGAATGAGTGGGATTTTTTAATTTTTTTGGAGGGGGAATTTTTTTTTTCTTGATTATGGTCATGTTAATTTTGTTTCAAAAATATTTTTGGTGATGGATTCATTTAGGTGACATATAAAGAGATTAATTTACATTTGTTTTTTAAAAGTTTGCTTAAAGTTCAACTTAAAAGTTAATGCAGCAATGTAGTGGTGGCTTTATAAATGATTAACTTTTAATACTTCCAGTTCTGTTTAAAAAAGAAAAAGATCTTTAAACAACAAATCAGCAGAGGCCATGGGTTCCTGCTTTTTTGTCCTGATGAATGGTGTCTACCCAACTCTTGCCTGAACCCATACTTAGTATTTAGGGTTGGCTTTGAGTTCTGAACTGGAAAGACAAAAACAAAACAAAACATAATGGTGGCCTTGATTGACTTCCCAGAGCAGTGGCTTTTACTTTTTTTTAGCAGCAGGATTATCTCTTAGACATGAGATCATCAAGTTACCCAGTGAAAAAAAGGGATACAATGGGTGAAACAGAGCCCATAGCTTCATGCAGGCAACTGGGAGAGCATCTGCTAGACTAAATGCCTTCCTTGACATCCATGCCAACAACTGATGGGAGTACCATAATAATGACAACAACAATAGTGACATTCAAAGAAGGTTCATGCTATTCCTGTCACTGCTTTATGTACTGAG